AACCAGGTCCGGAGTAGGTCCATCTCCTTGTGGTCGAGATGGGGCGCCATCGCAGCGGATAGGTCAGACGGCAACGCGGGCTACACCAAGAATCGCAGGAAAGAAAAAGGAATGGAAAAAAATAGCACGCCCCTAAGCCGTCCCTCGGGACCACGGCCACTGGGACGGGAGACCAACAAGAGGCAGCGCCGAGGACCCCGGGTCTGTTGTCAAAGGGCCCTCCACCCATGGATCCCACATTCCGGGCAATAGGCGGTGCAGCACCGACATATACATATGAGCGTGGCAAGCCGCCATCTCTAATGACATGAACGGAAGGCGTGCCGCCATCCCCATTATCCGATCGAATCGCCAGAATCCTGTATCAACCATCGACGCTTGCCAAGACTGAATACGGAGGAGAGATGCGCAAGCACAGCTCACACTTTTACCCTCTGACGAGCCGACCCTCAATGGACGAACCTGCGCCGGCGAATTCTGCGCACGCGGCCTACGACAGGCCTAGGTTCCTCTTCGCCGCCCCGAACTCTGCCTCCGTCAGGTGCCCCTGGCTGCGCCAGGCGATCAGCTTACCAAGCTCCGCCATCATCTGGGCCCCTGCCGACGCCGGGGCCGCCGCCCCCAAGGTCTCCGACGCAGATGCCGACGGGGCGCTCGCGGCAACGCGCGGCGGCAAGGAGCCGCTGGCGCCAGGGCTGCAAGGAACGCAGCAGTTCCGCACGGCCTCAAGCAGTGCGCCCAGTGGTCTGCCCTCCTTCAACCGGCAATTCATCTCGCCCGTCAGGACCCACCTGGCCCAGCACACCGTGCACGTCTTGAAGGAGCGGTTCAGCACCCGAGGCGCCGGGGCGTTGAAGAATATATACTTCACTCTGCTGTTGATCTGGTATGTCTCCCTCTTGTCGGGAACGCCGTTCCTGCACGCTGTGATCTGGATTGGGCCTGTGAAAATCAGCGAGGCTGTGCCCTCATAATCAAAGTCTCGGGCCCCGTCCGATTTCGGAACCCCGATTTTCGTCGTGAGTCCCTCCAGGAAGCGGTTGAAGGTCCCCTCGCCCACCCGGATGCCCTGCTCGCCCTTCTTCGGGTGGCCGGGGGCGTAGCGGAAGTCCTGGAAAAGGACCAACTCGTAATCCCGGGTGAATTCCAAAGGGCAGAAGCTGTCGGATTGCGGAATGCCCATCACTTTGTATATCTTCTCGAGAGGCTTCGTCACTGGAGTTTTCCCCGTGTCTGGGGGCCCGACCATCATGACCGCGTTGCCCTTCTGGCGCCCCATCTCGAGCGCCTCGAACACCTGGCGGCAGAACATATCTGGGCACAGGCCCTGCCTCTCGAAGATGGCCTCGTACATGGCGAGACACGCGCCTCCGCCGTTCGCGCAGGCCTCCGCCGCCTCCTCTTGGGTCGCACCTAGGAGGGCCGCGTCGGCCAGGATATCCAGCCGCGACTTGCCCAGGCGCTCCAGCCGCCCGTCGGCCTCGGGGGGCTTTGGTGAATACGAACCCCACCATCGGAGCCAGGGCCATAGGGTTCTCACCATTTGGAACATCCCAGGTCACGAACGTTCGGCAGTGCCATAGGACTCTCAACGCTGGAGCCCTCCCAATCGGGACGGGGGCTACCCGCGGCGGGGGGCTTCTCCCTCGGCCTTGGAGACGTGCCACACAAAATCAATCTGCTCGCGCAGGCTGTTCGAGTGCTTCTTCGCGAAGTCTAGTAGGTGTGGTCGGCCCTGTGCCAGCTCCTCGTCCGCCTGCTTGTGGAACTTCGCCACGCCCTCGTCGCCGCGGAGTTCGTGGTCTATCACCCACTTGTACACCGTGCCGAACTGGGACCTGTGCGCCTTCTGGGCCTGGCCCTCGTCGTCGTCGTCGGCGTTGCCCGGCTGCTCCCGAGGGCGCCTGCTGCGGCGTACGCGGCAGTACCTCTCCCCGTTTTTTCCCCCCCACCGTCTTTCGTTTGTATTCCTCCTTTCTTTTTCTTTTCGCCCCTCTTCCTTTTTCCTTTCTTCTCTCTTTTTTCTTTCCCGTGGTTCCAGGAGCTGCTTCAGCGCGTTGCCCGTCGGGTGGCCGACCGAGAAAGAAGGGCGCTGGGTCCAGCTCGTGGAGCGGCTTCGAGGCGCTCGGCCCCCGCAGGTACTTGTGCATGGTGGTGTACGCGTCGTGCGCCACCGCATGCATCTGCATCTTGTACTTGTCTGCAGAGAGCTTCCTCACGAACTTCCACCGGTGCTGCGTGTCCGTGGAAACTGCTGCGTGGTAGTGCACTGCTCGGTCGGCCTCCTGGGCGGCGTTGGCGTGCCTCTCCTGGGCAACCACGCCGAACTAGAGGATGCTCCCGTGCACGGCCCCGCGCTTCGGGTGCGCCTCGCCGTAGCACCGCACCAAGTGATCCCAGAACTGCTTCCGGGTGAGCTGGTCGGGCTGGACATCCCCTGGGGAGTCCGTGCGGTGGTGCACCCAGTGCACGTGGTAGCGCCGCGCGTCCCCGGCGAGCGGCTGGAGGCCGTCCGCAGCTGCGAACTCAGCTCGCAGGGCGGCCGCGACGCCCCGCTCTACGGCTGCCGCATCAGGCCCCCGCGGCTGTTGCTTGGACAGGTAGTGGCGCCTGGCGGCCGCGACGGGCAGCATCCCTGCTGCCCCCGAGGCCTCGCGCGCCCCGCGCGAAGCCCTCGAGCCCAGATGGCGGCGGAAGCGGCCGACTGCAGAAAACCTATGGAAAACCATAGAAAAAAACGCTAGTTCTGGACATGGCTCACGTACGACAGCGAGACTTCAATCCGCCACCCTCGTGCAGTTGCAAACGCCCCGCGCGCCCACCCGCAACGCGGTCGGCTGAACTCATTCGGCAGCTGAAGCGGCCGCGAGAGCTGTTTCCGACGGGAACTTCTCAGCGCGTCTCGAAGGCCGCGCTGGCGCGCGGGAACTCCGGTGCGCCAGCGCATGCCACCGGTCGGAGTCGGCGCCCGCAGAGTCGGCAAGCCGCTACTGCCGCGCCGCCCGGGCGCGACGGGCCGCGCGGCGTGCGCGCCGACCTCGAGAAACCGGTAGGAACCGGTAGAACCGCGTAGAAAACCGCGTAGAAAACTCGCTTATTTTTTTACATAAAACCTTTGCACACACTAAAAGAGTTTTAAAATTATAAATTCTAACTTCTATTTAGGATTCGACCGTTCTATGAAAACGCTGCGGTTTCTACCTCGGTTTCTACGCGTTTTCTACCGGCTCCTACACGGTTTCTACGAACCCGCCGTGACGCGACCCCAAGGGATCATTCCCGCGCTGGCGGGAAAAAAAAAAAAGAAAAAAAAGAAGGGGCTCTGGAACGGCCCGGCATTCCGCCCACTGTCGTGACATAGCGCCACGCCCCATGCGGGGCCATGCGGGGTCTCGGGTCGACGTCGGCGGGAAAGCGCGGGAGCGCGACATTGTTGTTCAGACCATCCCACACACCGGTATCAGTCGAAATCAATGTCTCCACCGTCTGCATCGAAGATGGCCTGCGCCCGCTTCTTGATGCTCAGGAGAGCCCGGCGAACTGTCTGAGTGGACGTGGACATGGCCGTGCGACGGAGCCGCTGCTTGAAGGCCGCCTTCGTCTCCTTTCCCTTGGGTGCGTTTGCATCCATGCGGCACTGGATGTCCTCCCATAGGGTGAAGTCCCATGGGTTGAGGTCGGGGCTGTACATCGGGTACTGCATCGCGTGGATGCGGCTCTCCGCCTTCTGGTCAGCGGCCTTCCTGCTTTTGTAGCCAGTCGGATCATTGTCCTCTAAGACGTGATACTTGCGCTTGGGCCCACGCTTGGTTGCTAGTTTTGGTGCCAACACATCCTTGTACGTGGATGCTGCGGCCTCGGCATTCCACCTCTTCTCGATGTAATGCCACACTGCTACGCGGCAGTTGATAATGCCGGCGCACACCATGACAGATCCTCCAGGGTTGATCCGGTGCCTCTTCCTGTTGGGCTTCGTGAAACCCGCCTGCAACCCCTCGGCCGGCGTCCGGAGATGGCCCCGGATCCGCTGGCGGCGAAGGTAGTTCCGAGCACGCTCGTCCGCTGGATAATCCCAACTCTTGTTGTCGATCACAAGATCCATGGAATCGGCAAAATAAGAATCCGAGAGGAAGCGCCACCGGCCGCAGATGAGCTTGCGCTCGTCTAAGTGCTCGGCATTCCGCAAGGGCTTCTCCCGGGGGCGTCTCCATTTCACGTCGATCCCCTCTCGCTTAAAAGCTTTCTGCGCGGTCGTCCTGTGCACCTGGGGGACGTTGGACTTCTGGATGATCTCATCCCAATGCACCTCCCGTTGTCCCCCGATGTTGGGGTCCTGGATCAGTCTGAGGCGGGTGCGGTTCATAGTCAGCACATGGCTGCGAGTGAGACGATTCTTCCGCCCCCTCTGCTCGGTGGCGGACGCAGTGTACGTCAGGCCGCGGAGGAACTTTCGGACGTTGGTGATGTTCGGGGCTGCAATCCCGCGCTTCGCCCGGGTCTGGGCGAACTTGGCGCGCGCTGTTATCGGTGTCAGGCCCTTGTCTCCAAACCAGGTCCGGAGTAGGTCCATCTCCTTGTGGTCGAGATGGGGCGCCATCGCAGCGGATAGGAATCACGGCCGCGCGCGCTACACCCAAGAAGCGGCAGGGAGCCCTGAAGCGTCTCGGGACACACGGCCACTGGGACGGGAGACGCACAAGAGCAGCGCCGAGGACCCCGGGTCTGTTGTCAAAGGGCCCTCCACCCATGGATCCCACAGTCGGGGCCATAGGCGGTGCGCACACATATACATATGAGCGTGCAGAGCCGCATCTCTAATGACGATGACGGAGGCGTGCTCGCCATCCCCAGTACCGAAAGAAAGGTCCACGAATCTGTATCACCATCGGTCAGCACTGGTCGGCGCCGGGTCCACAGAGATGCACACACGCTCACACTTTACCCTCTGACGAGGCCGACCTCAATGACGAACCTGCGCCGGCGAATTCTGCGCACGCGGCCTACGACAGGCCAAGGTTCCTCTTCGCCGCCCCGAACTCTGCCTCCGTCAGGTGCCCCTGGCTGCGCCAGGCGATCAGCTTACCAAGCTCCGCCATCATCTGGGCCCCTGCCGACGCCGGGGCCGCCGCCCCCAAGGTCTCCGACGCAGATGCCGACGGGGCGCTCGCGGCAACGCGCGGCGGCAAGGAGCCGCTGGCGCCAGGGCTGCAAGGAACGCAGCAGTTCCGCACGGCCTCAAGCAATGCGCCCAGTGGTCTGCCCTCCTTCAACCGGCAAGTCATCTCGCCCGTCAGGACCCACCTGGCCCAGCACACCGCGCACGTCTTGAAGGAGCGGTTCAGCACCGGAGGCGCCAGGGCGTTGAAGAATATATACTTCACTATGCTGTTGATCTGGTCTGTCTCCCTCTTGTCGGGAACGCCGTTCCTGCACGCTGTGATCTGGAATGGGCCTGTGAAAATCAGCGGGGCTGTGCCCTCACAATCAAAGTCTCGGGTCCCGTCCGATTTCGGAACCCCGATTTTCGTCGTGAGTCCCTCCAGGAGGCGGTTGAAGGTCCCCTCGCCCACCCGGATGCCCTGCTCGCCCTTCTTCGGGTGGCCGGGGGCGTAGCGGAAGTCCTGGAAAAGGACCAACTCGTAATCCCGGATGAATTCCAAAGGGCAGAAGCTGTCGGATTGCGGAATCCCTGCTCGCCCTTCTTCGGGTGGCTGGGGGCGTAGCGGAAGTCCTGGAAAAGGACCAACTCGTAATCCCGGATGAATTCCAAAGGGCAGAAGCTGTCGGATTGCGGAATGCCCATCACTTTGTATATCTTCTCGAGAGGCTTCGTCACTGGAGTTTTCCCCGTGTCTGGGGGCCCGACCATCATGACCGGGTTGCCCTTCTGGCGCCCCATCTCGAGCGCCTCGAACACCTGGCGGCAGAACATATCTGGGCACAGGCCCTGCCTCTCGAAGATGGCCTCGTACATGGCGAGACACGCGCCTCCGCCGTTCGCGCAGGCCTCCGCCGCCTCCTCTTGGGTCGCACCTAGGAGGGCCGCGTCGGCAAGGATATCCAGCCGCGACTTGCCCAGGCGCCCCAGCCGCCCGTCGGCCTCGGGGGGCTTTGGTGAATACGAACCCCACCATCGGAGCCAGGGCCATAGGGTTCTCACTATTTGGAACATCCCAGGTCACGAACGTTCGGCAGTGCCAAAGGATTCTCAACGCTGGAACCCTCCCAATCGGGACGGGGGCTACCCGCGGCGGGGGGCTTCTCCCTCGGCCATGGAGACGTGCCACACAAAATCAATCTGCTCGCGCAGGCTGTTCGAGTGCTTCTTCGCGAAGTCTAGTAGGTGTGGTCGGCCCTGTGCCAGCTCCTCGTCCGCCTGCTTGTGGAACTTCGCCACGCCCTCGTCGCCGCGGAGTTCGTGGTCTATCACCCACTTGTACACCGTGCCGAACTGGGACCTGTGCGCCTTCTGGGCCTGGCCCTCGTCGTCGTCGGCGTTGCCCGGCTGCTCCCGAGGGCGCCTGCTGCGGCGTACGCGGCAGTACCTCTCCCCGTTTTCCAGGAGCTGCTTCAGCGCGTCGCCCGTCGGGTGGCCGACCGAGAAGAAGAGCGCTGGGTCCAGCTCGTGGAGCGGCTTCGAGGCGCTCGGCTCCCGCAGGTACTTGTGCATGGTGGTGTACGCGTCGTGCGCCACCGCATGCATCTGCATCTTGTACTTGTCTGCAGAGAGCTTCCTCACGAACTTCCACCGGTGCTGCGTGTCCGTGAAAACTGCTGCGTGGTAGTGCACTGCTCGGTCGGCCTCCTGGGCGGCGTTGGCGTGCCTCTCCTGGGCAACCACGCCGAACTAGAGGATGCTCCCGTGCACGGCCCCGCGCTTCGGGTGCGCCTCGCCGTAGCACCGCACCAAGTGATCCCAGAACTGCTTCCGGGTGAGCTGGTCGGGCTGGACATCCCCTGGGGAGTCCGTGCGGTGGTGCACCCAGTGCACGTGGTAGCGCCGCGCGTCCCCGGCGAGCGGCTGGAGGCCGTCCGCAGCTGCGAACTCAGCTCGCAGGGCGGCCGCGACGCCCCGCTCTACGGCTGCCGCATCAGGCCCCCGCGGCTGTTGCTTGGACAGGTAGTGGCGCCTGGCGGCCGCGACGGGCAGCATCCCTGCTGCCCCCGAGGCCTCGCGCGCCCCGCGCGAAGCCCTCGAGCCCAGATGGCGGCGGAAGCGGCCGACTGCAGAAAACCTATGGAAAACCATAGAAAAAACCCTAGTTCTGGACATGGCTCACGTACGACAGCGAGACTTCAATCCGCCACCCTCGCGCAGTTGCAAACGCCCCGCGCGCCCACCCGCAACGCGGTCGGCTGAACTCATTCGGCAGCTGAAGCGGCCGCGAGAGCTGTTTCCGACGGGAACTTCCCAGCGCGTCTCGAAGGCCGCGCTGGCGCGCGGGAACTCCGGTGCGCCAGCGCATGCCACCGGTCGGAGTCGGCGCCCGCAGAGTCGGCAAGCCGCTACTGCCGCGCCGCCTGGGCGCGACGCCGCGCGGCGTGCGCGCCGACTTCGTAGAAACCGTGTAAGAACCGGTAGAAACCGCGTAGAAACCGCGTAGAAACCGCTTATGTTTTACATAGAAACCGTTGCACACCTAAAAGACTTTAAAATTATAAATCTACTTTTATTGGATTCGACCGGTTTCTATGTAAAACAGATGCGGTTTCTACGCGGTTTCTACGCGGTTTCTACCGGCTCCTACACGGTTTCTACGAACCCGCCGTGACAGCGACCCCAGGGAGCATTCCCGCGCTGGCGGGAGGGGCTGGAACGGCCCGGCATTCCGCCCACTGTCGTGACATAGCGCCACGCCCCATGCGGGGCCATGCGGGGTCTCGGGTCGACGTCGGCGGGAAAGCGCGGGAGCGCGACATTGTTGTTCAGACCATCCTACACACCGGTATCAGTCGAAATCGATGTCTCCACCGTCTGCATCGAAGATGGCCTGCGCCCGCTTCTTGATGCTCAGGAGAGCCCGGCGAACTGTCTGAGTGGACGTGGCCATGGCCGTGCGACGGAGCCGCTGCTTGAAGGCCGCCTTCGTCTCCTTTCCCTTGGGTGCGTTTGCATCCATGCGGCACTGGATGTCCTCCCATAGGGCGAAGTCCCATGGGTTGAGGTCGGGGCTGTACCTCGGGTACTGCATCGCGTGGATGCGGCTCTCCGCCTTCTGGTCAGCGGCCTTCCTGCTTTTGTAGCCAGTCGGACCATTGTCCTCTAAGACGTGATACTTGCGCTTGGGCCCACGCTTGGTTGCTAGTTTTGGTGCCAAAACATCCTTGTACGTGGATGCTGCGGCCTCGGTATTCCACCTCTTCTCGATGTAATGCCACACTGCTACGCGGCAATTGGTAATGCCGGCGCACACCATGACAGATCCTCCAGGGTTGATCCGGTGCCTCTTCCTGTTGGGCTTCGTGAAACCCGCCTGCAAACCCTCGGCCGGCGCCCGGAGATGGCCCCGGATCCGCTGGCGGCGAAGGTAGTTCCGAGCACGCTCGTCCGCTGGATAATCCCAACTCTTGTTGTCGATCACAAGATCCATGGAATCGGCAAAATAGGAATCCGAGAGGAAGCGCCACCGGCCGCAGATGAGCTTGCGCTTGTCTAAGTGCTCGGCCTTCCGCAAGGGCTTCTCCCGGGGGCGTCTCCATTTCACGTCGATCCCCTCTCGCTTAAAAGCTTTCTGCGCGGTCGTCCTGTGCACCTGGGGGACGTTGGACTTCTGGATGATCTCATCCCAATGCACCTCCCGTTGTCCCCCGATGTTGGGGTCCTGGATCAGTCTGAGGCGGGTGCGGTTCATAGTCAGCACATGGCTGCGAGTGAGACGATTCTTCCGCCCCCTCTGCTCGGTGGCGGACGCAGTGTACGTCAGGCCGCGGAGGAACTTTCGGACGTTGGTGATGTTCGGGGCAGCGATCCCGCGCTTCGCCCGGGTCTGGGCGAGCTTGGCGTGCGCTGTTATCGGTGTCAGGCCCTTGTCTCCAAACCAGGTCCGGAGTAGGTCCATCTCCTTGTGGTCGAGATGGGGCGCCATCGCAGCGGATAGGAATCACGGCCGCGCGCGCTACACCCAAGAAGCGGCAGGGAGCCCTGAAGCGTCTCGGGACACACGGCCACTGGGACGGGAGACGCACAAGAGCAGCGCCGAGGACCCCGGGTCTGTTGTCAAAGGGCCCTCCACCCATGGATCCCACAGTCGGGGCCATAGGCGGTGCGCACACATATACATATGAGCGTGCAGAGCCGCATCTCTAATGACGATGACGGAGGCGTGCTCGCCATCCCCAGTATCGAAGGAAAGGTCCACGAATCTGCATCACCATCGGTCAGCACTGGTCGGCGCCGGGTCCACAGAGATGCACACACGCTCACACTTTTCTCCGGTGTGTGCGAAATAAACGACCGTGGCACGCGGAGCGCGCCAGACGGTTCACAGTTGCCTCCACATGACAACCAGATCATCGCACAGCCATCGCACGCACGACATCGTTCGGTTCACAGTTGCCTCCACATCACAACCAGATCATCGCACAGCAATCGCACGCACGACATCGTTCGATTCACATGCCAACATCATCGCATCACAGCCTTTGCACGCACATCTTGGCAAGGAAGATGGTTTGAAGTCTCCCTCACCGCGGCTGGCAAAACATATCACAGCCTCTGCACGCACGTCTTCGCCAGGGAGATGTTTTCATGTGTGCCTCACTGGGCCTGCCCGAACCATATCACAGCCTCTGCACGCAAGGTCTCGCAAAGAAGATGTGGTCGCTTCTTTGTCGCCGGGCCTATCCCTCCCCCCTCCCTCGCCCGCCGCCCCACCCTCCCATCCTCCAGCCTCCAATTCAAAATCGTCCGCACTCGTCCGCAATCCTCCCGCCGGAGGCCTCCAGCACTAGTCCCCAGACGCCTCCGCTCGAATTTGATATCCTCCGCACTCGTCCGCACTCCTCCCGGAAGCCTCTGGGAGGCAGTCCAGAGGCCTCCGCTGGAATTTGACATCCTCCGCATTCGTCCGCACTCCGCCCGAAAGCCTCCGGAGGCACTCCCCAGAGGCCTCCGCTTGAATTTGAAATCCTCCGCATTCGTCCGCACTCCTCCTGGAGGCCTCTGGAGGTGCTCCCCAGAGGCCTCCGCTCGAATTTGAAATCCTCCGCAGTCGTCCGCACTCCGCCCGAAAGCCTCTGGAGATACTCCCCAGAGGCACTCCTTCGCATTCCATTTGAAAATCATCCTCGTTCCTTCTCCTCGTCGCCCCTCCTCCTCCTCCTCCATCCTCCTCATTCCTCCTTTTCCTCCCTCCTCCCTCCCTTCCTCCTTCCTTCCCTTCCCCCCCTTACCCTCCGAAGTGCAGAGTTGTTCCTCCTTTCTCCTTCTCCTCCTCCTTCTCCTCCTCCTCCTCCTCCTCTTCGTCCTCCTCCTCCTGATTCCTCATTCCTCATTCCTCATTCCTCATTCCTCATTCCTCATTCCTCATTCCTCATTCCTCCTCCTCCCCTTCACCCTCCTCTTCCTCCCCCCTCCTCCCCCGCTGCCTCCCTCCCCCCTTCCCTCCCCCTTCCCTCCCCCTTTCCCTCCCCCCCTCCCCCCCGAAGTGCAAAGCTGTTCCTCCCTCCTCGTCCTCCTCCTCGTCGTCGTCGTCCTCCTCCTCCTCCTCCTCCCCGTCCTGCCTCCTCCACATTGCCTACCTCCCTCCCTCTTTCCCTCCCCCCCCCTCCCCCCCGAAGTGCAAAGCTGACTCGTGGGCCGGGCAGGTCGGCGCTTCCGCCTCCACCCAGCTTTGCTCCATGGGGGGGAGGGGGGGGAGGGCGAACACGATTTTTGGGCTGTAACAGATGAATGCGAAAATGTGGCCCCACGTGCGGGCGAATCTCATGGGACCGAGAATGTGGCCTCACGCGCGGGCGAAGATAATGGAAACGATACAGTGGCCTCACGCGCGGGCGAAGATAATGGACACTCCGCCGTCCCAGGAGGACCCTGTTTGAGCGTATTCTGGCCCCGCGCCCGTTTCGCGGCACACCCCTCACACGTTTCGTACGACACGCACGATCATTACTTCTAATGCAGAACGCCATTACCTCATCATATCGACGGATGGTCGTTTTTTACGCACGCCCCGGTATCCTGGGAGAAAATCTAGACGTCCGCATACACCGAGATGTAAGCAACCATCCACATTGTGAGAGGCAGACTAGAAAGCAGAGCTGCCCGAAAGGATCGGGCAGCTCCGCTACCAAGTTTGAATGAGCATCCAAGCATGGTGTAGGTTGGGATGTCGAAGCGGTGGTAATAGTAGCGGGCGCTCCTTCGACTCACCGCCCAAACGCAGATGGCACAGCATGCGGCAAAACTTACTGTAAGCACATTGGGTGTGCACGCCTATAAGCCACAATGGTTACGGTGCACAAGCATATCTCGGAGAAGACCCTCAAAGTCCACCGTGCTTCGGGCACGAAGTGGAGTGTTCCCCAAGCTTCTAGAGCTCCCTGTACTCTGTGTTCAGTATTGTACTTATTACATTAGGGGCAGGGAACCCAAATCCCGTGTTCCCACGCCTTCCCCGCGTGATTTTCCCAGAAGCCTGAGGGCCCCAAAACGAGCCAAGAGGGTCCCAAGAAGCGCCCAAAGAGGGCCCAAGAGGCCTCCAAAACGACCCAAGAGCGCTCCAATACGCCCAAGATGGCCTCAAGACGGCATAGGAGGCCTGCAAGACGCCGCGACGCCCCTAGAGGGCTGCAAGAGGACCTCCAAGAGACAACAAAAACACTACTAAAAACAACAACAAATGAAAAAGCTAGCGAAAAGCTGGCTTCCAGCGCTCCGAGGCGGTCAAAGAAGCCCCCAATATCGGGTCCCAGGAGTTTTCCAAGACAGCGCAGGAGAGCTCCGAGACGGCCCCATAGCGCCAAAAGACGGCCCCAGGTGCATTTCAGGCAGCCCAAGAGGCCCCCGAGACGCCCCAAGATGGGCGCAAGAGTACTCCCAAGAGGGCCCCACGAGGCAGCGCTTCCGCTTGCGCTTTCCAGGTTTCCAGCGCTCGAAGACATCCCAAAAATCATCCCAAGCCGGCCCGAGAGGCTCCCAAGACGGCCTCAACGACGACCAAAGAACGCCCGGAAACGGCCCGTGAGACCCTCAAGACGGCCCGAGGGAGGGGCCCCTCAAGGATGCCCAAGGAGAGCCCAAGAAGGGGACGGCCTAAAGGGCCGCGGAGACCTTTCCCGCAGGGCCGCCCGAAAAGAGCCCCTGGAGGCTCCCGAAGCATCTTGCACAGACGCAGACCCCCCGACGCGCCCCAGACAGGACCTCGTGTCCACGACCCAATCACGGTGCGGGGTGTCGCCGAATGCCACCAAGCGAGCCAACCACAGACCAAACAAACGTTCTGCTAACAGACAGTGCTCGTAACACTTGCGACCGACGACTCGCAACAATACCGTCTGAACAAGACATGTCCGAAGCCTATGGAAGCAGAGGAGCAAATCCGGACCCTGTGCTGCTCGCCCCCTCAATAAGGCGACTGGGACGGCCCAAGGGGCCCGCAAACGCCCCCCCCCCCCGCGAGTCCGATCTCCGGGATAATCGCTGGTTGAAAAAACTTCCTCCTTCTCCTGGGAGGGCACGGGGAAGGGGAGTGGGCCCCACTGGGCACTGAGCTCTGTAGCCCTGGACTGTTCCCTGCCAAATCAGAAAAGCCAGTGAGGGTTGCGCGACCCCGAGGGAAGAGGATGGCCCCCAGAGGGAGGAGGAGGAGAATACATACTGAGGAAGGAAGGGAAGGGGCAGGAGACTCAGAGGGGGAGGAGGAGGCGCGCTTGGCGGCAACCTCTCGTGAAGACACAACGTCTGGCTTGCAGGCAAGTGACAAAGAAAAGCCCCTTGGAATCTCGCTCCACGAGTTTCCTAAGGAATTAAGGCTCAAAGGAGTGAAGCATCCAGTCGAAGGTTGGCGTCTTCACGGGCCCGGACCGACTTCTGCTTCAAGGCTTGAGAGCACATTCGAGCGCAAGGAGTTGTCTGAAATCTGGCTTGCGCTTCTGAGCCCAATCCAAAGGTGTCGCGCCACCAGGCCCTTTTGCAGAGGGATTCGCACGAGCCCGAATCAACATCGAGCACAACTCCGCGTCGAGGAAGCCAGCTGCCACGTGTAGCGGGCTCAGTCCATTAAGAGCCTGCAAGGGGACAAGAGGCTGACAACCCGCGCTCAAGAGTTCTCCGAGTATGATGGGCGTCGCCGCGTCCTTAGATGTCCGAGAGGCGAAACTGTGCATGACCGTGAAACCCAGCATGTTTGATGCGTTGACATCGGCCTTTGCCCGGAGGAGCCGGGTGATGAGATCTGGGTCGGCGGCGCGCTGAACGACGAACATCAGCGCATTAAGACCGCCGCCTCCGTCCTCGCTGTCTGTCGCCAGCACGTCCGCCTTGGCCTCTACGATCGAGCAGGCCTTAGCCGCCTGCGACGCGCCAGTCATCCCCTCGAAGTGGCCTGCCATCAGGTCCCGCAGCTGCATCGTCAGGTCGAGCGCGGGCGGCGCGGCTGCCTTCTCGGGGCGGGCGAGAGGGTAGGATAGCAAAGGATAGGGTAGACGACGACGACGACGACGATGACCACGACAACGACGACGACGACGACGACGACGACGACGACGACGACGACGACGACGACGACGACGACGACGAGCCGCCTCCAGCGGCGGCGGCATCTCGAGGCGAGAATCAGCTCAGCTGGTTCTCCCGGCGCCTTCTGGCGCCGGGAGGCGCCCGTGTCTCGAGGAACGGGCCCGGCGGCGGGGCCGAAACCAGCTGCGTGCAGCAGATTTCGTACCCCCCATTTCCCTATCTTACCCCGGCGGCGGCGGCGGCGACGACGGCGACGACGGCGGCGACGACGACGGCGACGACGACGACGACGCCGACGCGGACGCCGCCGACGACGACGACGACGAAGACGACGACGACCACGACGACGGCCCGACCTTCCGGGCCGCGCGCTTCTGTGCCGGCGTCATCTCCTCGCCGCCGACCGCCGGCCGCGAGCCGCGGGCTGCGGCCTGGGCGGCCTCCATCTCCTCGCGGCTGCGCGGCGCCCGCGGCGCCCCGTCTCCGTGCAGTCTGTGGCCCTGCGCGGCCTGCTGCGGGGCCGCGCCCCCCAGGTCTCCGGCCAGCCTGCCACCCGTGTAGCCCATGGCGGCCATCTGCGCGACCATGTTGCCGTCCGACACCACGCTGCCGTCCTCTTCCGCCACGATGTCGATGCCGGCCATGGCGATGGCCCCGGACGCGGCGGGCGGAACCTCCGCCTCCCCGTCAACCGCTGCTCTGCCCGGTGCATTCCGCGAGCGAGGATTGACAGGAGCGGGTCGTCGGGCGGGACCTCCGAGGTCTTCCAGATCCATGTCGCCAGTGGTACAGTGGGGCCGCCGCACGGACCAGCTCCTCGTTCAGAAGCAGCGGTGGCAGCTTGAGCCAAAATGTCTACGGCAGAGGACGATGCTGTCAGATTCGGATCTGGATAGGCAGAATGTCGACGGCATTAGCCTCAGACAAAAGGGAGTGCGCACATCACCTCGGGTTCACGCAATGGGCATTGTGCTGCACCGCCGAACTATGAAACGTTCGTGCGCCTGTTCCACTATATGTGTATACATATATATATATATATATATATATATATATATATATATGCATTGCTAAGGCGGAGTCTCGATCGAAAGTCGAAGCGAAAATCCGCCGACCCTTCGGCGTGTGGAAGACGCTCTTCCGTTGGTCGCCGTCGTCGTCGTTGTCGTGTCGTCTTCGTCGTCTCCCCGTCGTCTCCGTCGTCGTCTCCGTCGTCGTCTCCGTCTCCGTCGTCTCCTCGTTGTCTCCGTCGTTCCCCTTCTCCTTTCCATGGGCCCTCATCCTCAAGCGCGCTAGCCAAAGCGACATTGAGCAACGTCGTAGCTGAGTCGAAGGGAAGCCCCTCCCCTTTGATCCCTTCCCCACCGGGGGGGGGGGGTGGGAGGGGATCCCGGGGGGGGTCCTGGGGGGGGGCCTGGGGGGGGCGGGGGGGCAGATACGCATCCCCCCCCGAGCGGTTCTGGGGCCCAGAAATCCTCCAAGACGCGCAATAGTGTTCCAAGAGGCTCCAAGACGGTCCTCGAGGGTTCCGCATCGCCGAACTATCGGTCGAAGACGCCAAAATTGCCTCCAGACGGCTCAAAAGGTTTCCAAAACGCCCCAAGAGGCCTCCAAAACCACTCCCAAGAGGGCCCCAAGATGCAAAAATCAATGCTTTTCAACTGATTTAGTTCTCGCGTAATCGGCTTCCCGACCCTCCAAGACGCCCAAGAGGCCCCCAAGATCGCCCCAAGACGGCCCCAAGACGGCCCACGATGGCCCCAAGATGCCCCAAGAGGGGTCCTAGCACTCGGCCTGACAATGAGAAACGCCCAGGAGGCCCCCAGAGGCCCCCAAGAAGCCCCCAAGAGGCCCCAAGAGGCCCTCAAGAGGCTCCCGGGAAGCCCCAAGAGGCCCACAAGAGGCTCCCAAGAGGCCCCCCAAACTGCTCCCCAGAGGCCCCCAGGGGCCCCCGAGAGCACTCCGAAGACACCCCAAGAACCATCCCTGAGGACTCGGACCCACGTCAACGTCGTCGTCGCCGCCGCCGCCGTCGTCGTCGCTCCCCTTCAGGGACGGCGGCACCGGCCGCAAGGCCTTCGCAATATATGCACATATATATATATATATATATATACACACATATATATATATATATATATATATATATGTATGCGCAGCCCCCCGATATCCAGCACCCATTGATTCTCATTGCGCAGCCCCCCGATATCCAGCACCCATTGATTCTCATTGCGATCCGCGCTGGTCGCACTCGCATGTTCTTTACTGTCCGATTCGGTTCTGGCCCTGGGACGGCGGCATCGAATAGGGAACGTCACCTGGAGAGACAACCACCTGATCTTGCATATCGTTCCCCTATTTCAGATCCTCCCTCCTCCGCCTCCTCCTCCACCTCCTTCCTCCACCACACCTTCTTCTCCTCCTTCTTCCTCCTCTCCTTCTCCGTCCTCCTACCTCCTCCTCCTCCTCCTTACCTCCTCCCTCCTCCATCTCATCCTCCTCGCCCCCTCCACCTCCTGCTCCTCATACCTGCCTCCCGCTCCCCACTCTCCTCCTCCTCCTTCTCCTCCTCCTCCACCTCCATCCTCCTCCACCCCCTCCTCCTCCTCCTCCTCCTCCTCCCTCCTCCACCTCCACCTCCACCTCCTCCCTCCACCTCCTCCCTCTCCTCGTCCTCGCTCCTCCTCCTACTCATACCATCTCCTTCCTCCTCCTCCTCCACCTCCTCCTCCTCCACATCCACCACCTCCTCCACTTCCTCACTCTCCTTCCTGCCTGCTCCTCCTCCCCTCCTCCTCCTTTCCCTCCTCCTCCTCCTAACCCTCCTCATCACCCCTCCTCCTCCTCCTCCTCCTCCTCCTCCTCTCCCACCTCCACCTCCTCCTCCCTTACTCCTCCTCCTCCCCTCTCCTCCACCTCCTCCTCCTCCACCCTCTCCTCCTCCTCCTCCTCTCCTCGTCCTCCTCCTCCTCCCTCCCCCTCTCCACCTCCTCCTCCTCCCCTCCTTCTCCTCTCCATCCCTCATCAAGACTCCCTCCCTCCTCTTTCCTCCCTCCTGCTCGACCCAATTTCCCACCTCATCGTCCTCCTCCCTCTGCCGCCCATCCCTCCTCCCTCCAGCCTCCCTCACTTCCTTCTGCCTCTTCAACCCGTTTTGTGTTTCCACCTCCTACCTCCCCTCCTCCCCCTTCCCCTCCTCCTCCTCCTCCTCCTTCTCCTCCTCCTCGTTCACCTCCTCCCTGGTCCTCATCCTCCTTCTTGTATTATTATTGTTCTTCCTATTATTCTCCTCCCCCCCCATACTCATCATCCGTCCGCCCTCCCGCTTTCTCCCTCCTGCCTCGTCCCTCCTCCTTCCTCCGTCCTCCTCCTCCTCTCCTCCTCCTCCTCCTCCTCCTCTCTTCCTCCTCCTCCACCTCCTCCTCCTCCCCCTCCCCCTCCCTCCTTCCTCCTCCCTCCTCCTCCTCCTCAACCACCTCCTCCTCCTCACCTCCCTCACCTCCTCCTCCTCCTCCTCCTCCTCTCGTCCTCTTCCTCCTCCCTCCTCCCACCTCCCAAGCCAACCCTCCTCCCTCCCTCCCTCCTCCCTCCTCCCTCCTCCCTTCCTCCTCTGCTCTGGCGCTTCCTACCCTCCCTCCCTCCTGCCTCCTCCGTCCTTTTGCCTCTCCTCATCCTCTCCTCCTCCTCATCCTCCTCCCCTCCTCCTCCTCCTCCTCCTTCTCCTCCTACTTCCCCTCCCCCTCGTTATCATCCGTCTTCCACCTCCTCCTCCTCCACCACCTCCTTCCTCCTCCTCCTCCTCATCCCTCCTCCTCCTTCCTCCTCCTCCTCCTCCCTCCATCCTCCTCCCTCCTCCTTCCCTCCTCCTCCTCCTCCTCCTCCTCCTCCTCCTCCTCCCCTCTCCTTCCTCCACCTCCTCCTGCTTCTCCTCCTCCACCCCTCCTCCCCCCCCTCCTCTCCTCAGCCTCCTCCTCCTCCTCCCCGCCTCCTCCCTCCCAAAGCCTCCCTCCTCCTCCCCCCCTCCCCCTCCTCATCCTCCACTCCTCCGCCTCTTCTCTGCTCCTCCTCCTCCTCCTCCTCCTCCTTCTCCTCCTCCTCCTCTTCCTCCTCCTCCTCCTCCTCTTCCTCCTCCTCCTCCTCCTCCTCCTCCTCATCCTCCTCCTTCCTCCTCTTCCCGTTCCTCCGGCCCTCCCTCCTCTTATAAGCATGACGGTTGGAAAAGGACGAGGAGAGCGAGGGGCGGACGGTAGAGGAGGAGGAGGAGAAGGAGGAGGAATATGACGAGGAGGAGGAGGAGAAAGAGGAGGGGGGCGAAAGAGGACAGGGAGGTGGCGGCAAAGCCTCGGCCTCCTCCTCCTCCTCCTCCTCCTCCTCGTCCTCCTCCTCCCCCTCCTCCTTTTTGTTGACCCAGCGCTAAGACAGGCTCTACGCGTGGTGGGGGGGCGGCGCAAATATGGCGACGCCCCACCACTGCAGCGCGAGCACTGCCAGGGCCACCTCATCTTGAATCAGAAACGAAACTTCCAAACCTCCCAACCTCCCTCAATATTGTCAAGTGGGTGGCCTGGCACTGCCAAAAAAAATGATGCGTGCAGTGCGTGTGGCCTCCCAGCCCGAGTGGGGAAACCCACTCTTAAAGTGAAAATGCAGACGCAGCATGGTATCAATACTGTCGGCCAAGTTGGAACTCAACACCAAAACATATCCAAATCAACCCCATCCGATCAGTAGGCTCGACAGCTGGAGGATTATCGTAGGGGTGCTACGAAGTAAGAAGGTGGGCCTCACAACCCTTAAAAGTGGCAGGTGCAAGCGCGCATCGGGGCGAGCTCATCCAGAGTGAGACTGTCCTCCCTAGAGTGTAGAGCCTAGTGTGCAAGGCAGGTGATACTGCCTGCGATGATCTGCGAGGCTCCCTCCACAGATCCTTACAGACCTACCCAGCAGCAGAATAAGCGGAGCGGCGGACTGTAATAGCGAGGTGTGGCAGCAGGAGGATTGGGCAGATGTTTTTCCCTTGAGCCAACACAGGCGAATCACGGGTACAGACCTGACTCGCACACCACATGCTGAACCTAGACTGACAAATCTGGCATCCTTCCACACTCGTCAGAATTTCTAGTAGGTTCAGCTCCCTGTCGTCAGTGATGACGGGAAGCAGGGAAAATCCTGAAAACCAGCACGGAAAAGGGAGAGGGCCGTTTCCCCCCACGGCCCCCGTCAGTGACATCCCCACTCCTAGGAAGTGGGAAAACAGGAGAAAATTACTGAAAAGGTAGAGAGCCGGCCGGCCGAGAGCAGGGATCGCAGGAGAGGGGAGAGGAGAGGAGGAGACCACCACCACCACCACCATCCTGGGCCAGGAACTCCCTCCAGGTGACGAAGGTCTTGGTCTGGGACAGCTCTCGACGAGAGGCCGACTGGGATCGGTCCTTGAGTTCTGGGCACGTCCGTCTCCGATCCAGCTCGCCTCCTTCATCTACCAGGCTGAGGCGGCCATGGGCCATCAAGTCAAATAAAAAAAAAAAAAAACAAAAAAAAAAAAAAAAAAAAAAGAAAAAAAAAAAAAAAAAAAAAAAAAAAAAAAAAAAAAAAAAAAAAAAACAAAAAAAAAAAAAAAAAAAAAAAAAAAAAAAAAAAAAAAAAAAAAATAAAAAAAAAAAAAAAAAAAAACAAAGAAAAAAAAAAAAAAAAAAAAAAAAAAAAAAAAAAAAAAAAAAAAAAAAAAAAAAAAAAAAAAAAACAAAAAAAATAAAAAAAAAAAAATAAAAAAAAACAAAAAAAAAAAAAAAAAAAAAAAAAAAAAAAAAAAAAAAAAAAAAAAAAAAAAAAAAAAAAAAAAAAAAAAAAAAACAAA